AGAGGAGGGGGCAAAGGAGGTGAGGGGGTGGGGGCAGAAAGTGGAAATGAAAGCAGACAACAGAACATTGTTTGAGATCAGGAAAGGATGTGAAAGGAGACAATTTAGAGAAGAAAATTTTTTGGTCGCTACCCGGAATCGAACCCGGGACCTTTGAATGAGAGGCCAACACCTTAACCTCTAGGCCACGAGAGCCTCGTGTATATATGTGTTAAGCCATGTGTGTGTATGTATGAGTATGTGCGTATGCGTGTGTGTGTGTCAGTGTGTACACGAGAGAGCTGCTAATGAGTGGACCTTCCTCATCACCACCACCAACAAAGCAGGCGTTGAGAATCTGTAAGGAGATTAAAGCACAGAAGCTGATAAACAACACCTCGTCTTCTTTAATATGTCTTGAATGAAGCTCGTCGAGTTACACTTGATGGCAGAACAGATATATTCCCAGCAAGACGGAATGAAAGTGACACGTTCTCATAACGAAGAGACAAAAGCCTTCTTTGTGAGATCTAGAGAAACCTCCTGGAAGAAAAATAAACAATTTCTAGCATTTCCTGGTGTTATGTCTCAAATAGACCGAAGGAGTGCTTTGCGTCATGGAAACAGGTGGCGAGCGAGAAAGCGAGCGAGTGAGCGAGAAAGCGCAAGAAATAATATTCCTGGTAGAGACTCAGTTAAAAATCTGTTTGAGCCCTTCCCAGCTCCCTTCCTCCCCCACCCCCACCCTCTCGATTTCTTCAATGCGCCACTCCACTCAGATAGCTAAGCTGGTATCATTTTGGATTGAGGAACGAATAGCCCCGGTTTGAATCTCAGATTAAGCATTCTTAAACTCGGGTCGTTTCGTGGAGTTTTCAAGGCTCTCAATCCATTTGGCTCGGTCCTATCAGAGACGGATGTTAAATTTGGAGGTTCCGCCTCTTAAATAACCTCATTCTGTTCATAACATAGGGGAGATAGACCTGTGCACTTACTTCTCTCCCCAACCCTACCCCCACCCCAATTATTATTATCTTAATGTAAATGCGTCTTTTGCGATCGAGATAGCAGGCGACTGGATGGCGCGACTGGTAGCTACTAATTATTTACTTTCCTTCTGTTGTTTCTGTCCGTCTATCGTACTCTTTCCCGGCACTAAACGACCGTTATTGTGTTAATGTGCTTACTCAAACAAGCAAATAAACAAACAAAGCGATCGAGGTTACGGTGACCTCACAGAGAGAAGTGTGCGAAAGAGTCATGTTGGTTCTATAAATGGGTGGCGTAAGTAGACTTTTAAGGTGTTTCCAAATCCCGATGTTTTGTTTTATTCATTTTAGTAAGAGTTTCACAGCACTTGAAACACAATTAGGCAATACATGTGCAGTGGATTAGAGGTGTTACGAAAGAGTAACAAACTCAAACACGAAGGAGGCGAGATATAGATGATAGGTGTTTGATAGGAAACAAGGAGCAAACCGTAACAGAGAACCTGCAAAAAAAGCCCCATTCCCTTTCTCGTCAACGGGAGACGGCCGTCTGTGGTGCAGCAGTTAGGCACTTCGCTGTCACACGAAGAAGGTCTAGGTTCGATTCCCGTAAGAAAAGAGTTCTTACAGAGCCTCTCGGTCTTTTTGCTAGGACTTTGTTTCCCTCTCTGCCAAGGTTTACCCTGACAGGCAGGGTTAAAGGGCACCTTTCAGATGATTTAAAATGTATCAATGGGGGTGTAAAACGCACACGTTTTCTTTTAAAGGTCGATAAAAGAGACTGTGGGGAAAATGTTACAAGCTCTCACTCGCTCGTTCGCTCGCGGTTGCGTTTTATTGCTTAAAGCGTTGTTTGTCTTTTCAGCCTTTCCACAAAATGGGTCTTAATATGCATGCCTGTAGGCCTTGGAAATCAGTGGTATAGCCCTTTTGGCTTTTGGCAGCAACTTCTCTGCTAATGGCTAAAGGTTATTCAAGGACTGGGCTATTCACGCCAACACCAAGCTAAATGTTACTCCCTCCCAACCCCCCCCC